AAAATAGGGCTCAAAGTGGGCAAAATCGTCGATTTGTAAATATCACAGAGGTCGCTAACTTTGCGAGAGCGTAATTCCGTCTGTTTTCCATCAAATTTCATTTTTTTTGGTGTCATTACAATCCGTTAAAGATTCTCTATCATTTCATAAGAAAAAATAATTTTTTTTTTTAAATTTTGCGACACCATGAGACACCTCAGGATTCGGGGTTGCGACAGTCAAGGGGTTAACCCTTTCAGGGTTTTCGACGTACTAGTACGGCTTACGCACCAGGGTTATTGACATGCTAGTACGCCTAAATTCTAGTGCCTTCAAATCTAGCGAGAGAAAGCTGGTAGGCCTACATATGAAAGAATGGGTCTATGTGGTCTGTGTGCGCAGTGTAAAAAAAATCCTGCAGCACACAGTGCGTAATGTGAAAAAAAAAACTGGCCATGTTTTTGGATTAAAGCAGCGACTTTGCACTGTATTTTCGTATGGTATTTATGATTATATTCTAGTTTTCCTGGTCTCATTTCATAGAACGGAAGACATACTACAGAAATTGAGATGATTTTGACTGGTTTCACACTGAAAAGTACCTTGAAATTGAGCTCAAAGTAGCAGAAATGTTTGATTTTTACCAAAGTTCAAAAGTAAACAAATCATGCTAAGCGTCCAATACACGTCAACTGGTGAGTCTTATATTCTTTCACAAGTGCGCTGATGTTATTTATACCATTTCTACACTAATGCAGTAGTCTGTATAACAGTAAATCTTCTATTTTTTGTGAGAATAAAAATTCAAAGTGGAAAGCATAAGAAATATAAGAGGGGCCTGGGGACATGACTAGCAAGTAGAGAACTTGTTATTTTAGTGCCAGGAATGTCTTTCTTGTTTATTTGGACCCTATTTGGAAATTGGCATCTTCTGAAATTTGTGTGAAATTGGCAAAATTGCCAATTTCTAACCACTTTATTGGATAGTTGAAATTGGTAAATGAGTGGTTTCTTGTACTCATTCGATAGAAAAAATGGGGTTCTAGTGAAATAAATATGATTTTTGTCGACTAGTACACACGAATTGGCCAAAAATAGGGCTCAAAGTGGGCAGAGTCGCCGATGCGTAAACATCGGTGAGGCCGCTAATTTTGCGAGAGCATAATTCTGTAAGTTTTCCATCAAATTTCTATACTTTTGGTGTCATTATGATTGGGAAAAGATTCTTTATCATTTCATAAGAAAAAAATAATTTTTTTTTCCAAGTTTAGGAGAGAGCCTCTCGACCCTGAGAACAAGTTTAGGAGAGAGCCTCTCGACCCTGAAAGGTAAAGTTTAGGGAGCCTTGACTTGAGAACAAGTTTGAGGATTAAAGCATCTGAACCCTGCAAAGGTGATTTAATGAGGATAGGGTGTTGAGTTTGATTAATTTTTCGTTTTGGGTTCATCCTTACTGGGGCATTCTCTGGGAGATCCTCTGTAAAAACATGATATATTTGATATATAATTTATTATATTATTTTTTAATCTGCTTTTATGGGTTTTTAAATTTCAATTCTGTGTCAACCAGCCAAGTTGAAGATGCTGCGAATTTAGTCTAAAAAAATATTATGTTTATTACCTTATTTAATAAATTTTTTCTTCTGTAAGTCCTGCACTATTTAATGAGTTGGTTATATTATTATAATTCTAGAAACTCTGTTACAAACAGTCCCAAATTTTGAAAAAAGCTGCTGAGGAGCATTTCTTAGGTGTTTCAGGAAGCATGAGTATTCATGCTGTTCATGTAAGCAACTTATTAAAAAGAATCCTTAAAGGCTCTGGCTGCTCAAGTCATGCACCTATCTGTATGTTTGCAGTCATATTAGTGGACTTTGTTTTGTGTGATAATCTGTTAGCCTCAATGTTTAATAAGTCAGTATTTACAGTGATAAAAACATAAAACCAGAGGAGCATTGCACTATGGCTGTTAGTCCAGGGAAGGCAGGTTTATTCACTCGGCTATTCCCACTCTTTTATTAGTCAAAAATCTTTTTAAAACACAAACTCACTTAAATGAAGCTATTGGTGGTTTGTTTCACCTATCTGCAATTCTGTTTGCCAAACAAATACAGTGGAACCTTGGTTTTTGTGATTAATTCGTTCCAGAAAGTCTGACGAGAACTGAATTGTACGAAAACTGAAGCTATATTTCCCATAAGAAATAATATAAATCCAATGAATCTGTTCCAGACACTCAAAAATATTAACAAAAAATGCATTTATAGAGAATAACTATAGTTTTACATACAGAAAACAATGAGAAATAAATATAAATGACTAATGAAATGGATAAATAAACATTTAACATCACTTTTACCTTTATTGAAGACTTTCGTTGGCGTATGGAAGACGGCAAGGAGGGGAGAGGGAGGAGGAGAGGTTATTGTTTGGAAGGGTAATCCCTCTACATAAGGACTTCAGGTATCAAGGCCCTATCCCTTCTTTGTCTTTAGCTGGCACTATGACCAGCTGGAGAGTCACTGGACCCGTGTCTCACAAAAAATCTGTCCAGAGAGGTCTGTTTCTGGCATCTCTTTAAGATTTGCCTAAAATGGGACAAATCATTGTCATTGACTATGTTGCAGACATGGCTTGCAACAGCTTTGTTAGGGTGATATTTCTCCACAAAACTTTGCAACTGATTCCAATTTGCACACACATCCTTAATCACTGAAGAAGGCACATTCTTCCCTCTCTCTTCCTCCTCCTCTGAAGCAATTTCCTCAGCTGCGGTCACTGTCGTACTTTGATACTTTTCACTTTCCACTTTGCCACTTTCATACTTTGCTATGAGTTCTTTCTTGCTTTCTATCGTGTTTCTTACCTTCTTTATCAAAGGGCTGGCACTCGGAACTATCTTTGGCCCCACGGTGGCTTATTTAGCAGTCACACTTGATGAACAAGCACAAAAAGCAACTCTATGTAAACCGAGCAGTTGTACAAAAACTGGGACAAAATTTAGGCGAAAAGAGTTGCCGAAAACCGAATCCTACAAAAACCAAGGTTCCACTGACCTGTCTTATGTCCTTTCTAAATCTTAATTTATTAAATTTAATACTTAACCCTTAAACTGTCCAAACGTAGATCTACATCCACATGCGGGGGGGGGGGGCTCCGAACGTAGATCTACTTTTTTTTTTTACATGCTTTCAGATGGGGAAAATCAAGGTCGGAGCGCTACACACGTGAACGTAGATCTACATTTGGACAATTTAAGGGTTAAATGTTTTCAGCACTATTCATGTCTCTTGAATTTAATCCTGTCTACCATTTGTCCACTTCAGTCATATCTCCCCTCAGTTGCTCTCTCTAGACAGTGTAAGCTCACTGCTCATAAACTTATGAGATATGTCACTAACATTTTCATTCTTCTTTGTATGTTTGCCAGTGCATATACAGTGAAACCTTGGTTTTCGTCTTTAATTCGTAAATCCAGTTAATCCGTTCCAGACACCCAGAAATCTTAACAAAAAATACATTTTATAGAGAAGAACTATAGTTTTACATACAGAAAACAGTGAGAAATGAATATAAAGCACTAATGATATGAATAAATGAATATTTAAATAACTTTTACCTTTATTGAGGACTCTTGTTGGCGTATGGAAGATGGCGAGGAGGGAGAGGGAGGAGAGGTTATCTCTACCATCACTACCACCCTCTACCACCATCACTACCACCCTCTACCACCATCACTACCACCCTCTACCACCATCACTACCCCTCTACCACCATCACTACCACCATCTCTACCACCATCACTACCACCATCACTACCACCCTCTACCACCATCACTACCACCCTCTACCACCATCACTACCACCCTCTACCACCATCACTACCACCCTCTACCACCATCACTACCACCATCTCTACCACCATCACTACTGCCCTCTACCACCCTCTACCACCATCACTACCACCATCACTACCACCATCATGACCACCCTCTACCACCATCACTACCACCCTCTACCACCATCACAACCACTACGACCATCACTACTACCCTCTACCACCATCACTATCACCCTCTACCACCATTGAATTTTATCGTGTTTCTCGCCTTCTTTATCAAAGGGCTAGCACTCGAAACTTTCTTTGGCCCCATGGTGGCATATTTAGTAGTCACACTCAAGCACAAAAAAAAAAATTATTATGAAATGTTTCGTATGAATGCGCAGGGTAATGTTCACTCGACGAGAAACATCCAGACTGGCTCAGAATGCGTGTGTGGGATGCTTTGTGTGGGTGTGGGCAGAGGGACACATTTGGACAAAAACCGAGGTGATGAACGAAAACTGGAACAATATTTTGACGAAAAACATCGAAAACCGAATTTGACGAAAACCGAGGTTCCACTGTATGTCCATTTGATAATTTGTAGATTGGAACTGTATATAATAATACTAAAAAAATTTGTGTAGAATAATATTAATACAGTCTCGCCTCACTTAGCAATGTGCTCATTTACCGATGACTCGGACTTATGACAGGCTCTCAGACCAGCATGCATACCTAAATAATGTACAGTGGTATCTCGAGTTATGAACTTAATTTGTTCCAGAAGGCTGTTTGAGTGCTGATACCAAATGAAGTTGTTCCCATAAGGAATAATGTAAATTATATTAGAGCTGGTTTCTTCTGCTCTGTTTATTACAATATACAGTACACTACTGTATAAACATTGAAAAATATACCAGAAATGTAATAAATGGTGCAAAGGTGTCATTAAAATATCAAAGATGGTTGACACAATCCCACTACCATTATAGTAAGCTCCTTGTTTAGCGACGAATTCACTTACCAACATGGTCTTAGGAATGGAACTCTGTCGTTAAGTGAGGAGAGGCTGTATTAATATTAAAATAATGTAAATATCTTCATGATATGTTTACCATTTATCTCACATTCCTATCTTTAGTAAAAGTAATCCATGAATACCCTGGCAGTACTAATACATTATATGTTTATTCAGTGTCACGAGAAGATGGTGATCCTGAGGGAGTACGCAGGTTAAACCTTACTCGTCTTATTCTCCTCTACACTCGTAAGTTTGACGCCACTGATCCATGTGAAGCTCTCCACTATTGCTTCTTCCTCAGGTAAGATTTGCTCATGCTTTCAACATGCGAATTTGATTCCATGTGTGCTTGCATGATATACATGCTGATGTAAGGGTGAATTAAACACCTGAACTTCGGTAAACAGTTCTTCATAAGGCTTCTTATGCAAGTAAAAAAAAAAATAATTACCAAACCCTTAGTTTTTATATTTTTGTTTTTATATAAAGGCATATGATAGGATGGATAGGGAAGCAGTGTGGCAGATGTTGCAAGTGTATGGAATAGGTAGCAAGTTAAGAAATGCTGTAAAGAGTTTTTATGAGGATAGTGAGGCACCAGTTAGGATGTGTAGGAGAGAGGGAGATTACTTTCCAGTAAAAGTAGGTCTTAGACAAGGATGTGTAATGTCACCATGGTTGTTTAACCCTTTGACTGTTTCCGACGTATAAATACGTCTTACGAGCCAATGTTTCTGACGTATTTATACGCATAAATTCTAGCAGCTTCAAATCAAGCAGGAGAAAGCTGCTAGGCCCACATGTGAGAGAATGGGTCTCCATGGTCAGTGTGCACCATATAAAAAAAATCGGGGAGCCAGTGGTGCATTGTGGGAATGCCATTTCAGTTGTCATTTTTCAGCATGTCTAGTGGTAAGAAATATGTGATTCCCCAGCAAATCTGGGACTCTTCTCTTCCCAAGTGATGCTCTAACACAGATGGAAGTGTCAGTGAAGATCAATTTCATGATTTGGAGGAGTTTGAGACCAAAAGCAATGGAGGAGGAGGAGGGGGAGGAGGGGAGGAAGAGGAGGAGGAGGAGGAGGAGGAGGGAAGGAAGAGGAGGAGGAGGAGGAGGAGGAGGAGGAGGAGAAGAGGAGGAGGAGGAGGAAGAAGAAGATGTAATAATATTGTTCCCTTGAAGCAAGAAAAAAAAAAGTCCACCCCATGACAGTGACAAGATAAGGGGAGATAACATCTGATAAGAGCTGACTTTGATGAGCGTAAAGGAGGGTAATATTACATGACCATCGCCTCCCTTTGTTTTTGCTGGTACACAAACATTTCTGTCTGTCTATTTGTCTGTCTGTCAAACTCCCTGTCTGTCCATCTAGCTCTCTGTCTCAGAGAGAGCCACAAGACTGTGTCATCACGTTTACTCACATCTTCAAGCAGAGTATAGCACTTTGTCTGGATTTCTTGGGTTATCCTAGGTAATTTACACTATGTATACTTGTATTTATGTGTACCTGTGAGACAGAGATAGGCAGACAGAAAGAGAGACAGATTGAAAGATATAGAATGAGGGAGAAAGATAATTAGATAGAATGGAGGAGGGGAAGCAGCATCCGACCCCATTGTTTTGACAGGGGTAGGGGTAGTGACTAATGAGATAATATGTCACTTTGACAGCTGCCGACTTCTGACTCAAAACAATTATAAGCCACACACTCGCACACAAGGAGGAGGAGGAGAAGGAGGAGAAGGAGGAGGAGAAGGAGGAGAAGGAGGAGGAGGAGGAGGAGAAGGAGGAGAAGGAGGAGGAGAAGAAGGAGGAGAAGAAGGAGGAGAAGAAGGAGGAGAAGAAGGAGAAGAAGGAGGAGGAGAAGGAGGAGGAGGAGAAGAAGGAGAAGAAGGAGGAGAAGAAGGAGGAGAAGAAGGAGGAGAAGAAGGAGGAGAAGAAGGAGGAGAAGGAGGAGGAGAAGGAGGAGGAGAAGAAGGAGAAGAAGGAGAAGAAGAAGAAGGAGAAGAAGAAGAAGGAGAAGAAGAAGAAGGAGAAGAAGAAGGAGAAGAAGAAGAAGGAGAAGAAGAAGGAGAAGAAGAAGGAGAAGAAGGAGAAGAAGAAGGAGAAGAAGAAGAAGAAGAAGAATTGTTTGTTTGTTTGTTTGTGTAAACAAGTTTTGTAAACAATATATTGATAATTATGTTTGTGTGCTTATTGTGTTGTATACAACGAGTGTATATATGTACATTGCACCTTACTTTGGTCTCATAGGCCACATAAGTTATGTGAAAAAATAAAATAGTGAAAAAAACAACAAACCTTCAAATACAAGTAAACTAAAGTTCACCGGGTGAGCGGCAGTCGCCGCTGTTGCCATACGCGGCTCATTTTCTGCAAACTTCACGGCTCTATATCTCGGTAAGTACCAATGGCAAAAATTTTTTTTTTGGACTAAAACACTCAGAAAAATAATCTTAACATTTTCATAAGAAAAAATAATTTTTTTTTTTTTTGAATATTTGGCGACATAGAATGACAGTTTCAGAGAGGGGCCTGAAACAGTCAAAGGGTTAATACATTTATAGGAGGAGTTATTGTAGGTAGTAGGTTGGTAGACAGCAACCACCCAGGGAGGTACTACCGTCCTGCCAAGTGCGTGTAAAATGAAAACCTGTAATTGTTTTACATGGTGGTAGGATTGCTGGTGTCTTTTGTCTGTCTCATAAACATGCAAGGTTTCAGGTACGTCTTGCTACTTCTACTTACACTTAGGTCACACTACACATACATGTACAAGCATATATATACACACCCCTCTGGGTTTTCTTCTATTTTCTTACTAGTTCTTGTACAGTGAAACATATAAGTGAACAGTATTTAGATAAGGCTAAAGAGATCTTTGTGGCATTTATGGATTTGGAAAAGGCATATGACAGGGTGGATAGGGGGGCAATGTGGCAGATGTTGCAGGTGTATGGTGTAGGAGGTAGGTTACTGAAAGCAGTGAAGAGTTTTTATGAGGATAGTGAGGCTCAAGTTAGAGTATGTAGGAAAGAAGATTATTTCCCAGTAAAAGTAGGCCTTATACAAGGATGTGTGATGTCACCGTGGTTGTTTAATATATTTATAGATGGGGTTGTAAGAGAAGTAAATGCGAGGGTCTTGGCAAGAGGCGTGAAGTTAAAAGATAAAGAATCACACATAAAGTGGGAGTTGTCACAGTTGCTCTTTGCTGATGACACTGTGCTCTTGGGAGATTCTGAAGAGAAGTTGCAGAGATTGGTGGATGAATTTGGTAGGGTGTGCAAAAGAAGAAAATTAAAAGTGAATACAGGAAAGAGTAAGGTTATGAGAATAACAAAAAGATTAGGTGATGAAAGATTGGATATCAGATTGGAGGGAGAGAGTATGGAGGAGGTGAATGTATTCAGATATTTGGGAGTGGACGTATCAGCAGATGGGTCTATGAAAGATGAGGTGAATCATAGAATTGATGAGGGGAAAAGGGTGAGTGGTGCACTTAGGAGTCTGTGGAGACAAAGAACTTTGTCCTTGGAGGCAAAGAGGGGAATGTATGAGAGTATAGTTTTACCAACGCTCTTATATGGGTGTGAAGCATGGGTGATGAATGTTGCAGCGAGGAGAAGGCTGGAGGCAGTGGAGATGTCATGTCTGAGGGCCATGTGTGGTGTGAATATAATGCAGAGAATTCGTAGTTTGGAAGTTAGGAGGAGGTGTGGGATTACCAAAACTGTTGTCCAGAGGGCTGAGGAAGGGTTGTTGAGGTGGTTCGGACATGTAGAGAGAATGGAGCGAAACAGAATGACTTCAAGAGTGTATCTGTCTGTAGTGGAAGGAAGGCGGGGTAGGGGTCGGCCTAGGAAAGGTTGGAGGGAGGGGGTAAAGGAGGTTTTGTGTGCGAGGGGCTTGGACTTCCAGCAGGCATGCGTGAGCGTGTTTGATAGGAGTGAATGGAGACAAATGGTTTTTAATACTTGACGTGCTGTTGGAGTGTGAGCAAAGTTACATTTATGAAGGGATTCAGGGAAACCGGCAGGCCGGACTTGAGTCCTGGAGATGGGAAGTACAGTGCCTGCACTCTGAAGGAGGGGTGTTAATGTTGCAGTTTAAAAACTGTAGTGTAAAGCACCCTTCTGGCAAGACAGTGATGGAGTGAATGATGGTGAAAGTTTTTCTTTTTCGGGCCACCCTGCCTTGGTGGGAATTGGCCAGTGTGATAATAATAATAATAATTCTTGTTCTTGTTTATTTCCTCTTACCTCCATGGGGAAGTGGATCAGAATTCTTCCTCCGTAAGCTATGCATGTTGTAAGAGGCGACTAAAATGCCAGGAGCAGGGGGCTAGTAACCTCTTCTCCTGTATAAATTACTAAATTTAAAAAGAGAAACTTTTGTTTTTCTTTATGGGCCACCCTGCCTCGGTGGTATACAGCCAGTTTATTGAAAGGAAGAAGAAAGATGGAGTTGTAAAAGAAGTAAATGGTAGGGTGTTGGGGAGAGGAGTGGGATTAAATTATGGGGAATCAAATACAAAATGAGAGCTGACACAATTACTTTTTGCTGATGATACTGTGCTTTTGGGAGATTCTAAAAAGAAGTTGCAAAAGTTAGTGGACAAGTTTGAGAGGGGTCTGTGAAGAGAAAGTTGAAAGTGAACATAGATAAGAGTAAGGTGATGAGGGTATCAAACCAGTTAAGCAAAGAAAACTTGGTTATCACAATGGAGGGAGGGAGTATGAAAGAGTGAATGTGTTCAGATATTTGGGAGTAGATTTGTCAGCAGATGGGTTTAAGAAGGACTAGGTTAACCATAGAACTAATGAAGAAAAAAAGGTGAGTGGTGCATTGAGATGTCTGTGGAGACAAAAAAAAGTTAGCCATGGAGGCAAAGAAGGGAATGTATGAGAGTATAGTGGTGCCAGCACACTTATGAGTGTGAAGCATGGGTTGTAAATGCTGCAACAAGGAGGAGGCTGGAGGCAGTGGATATGTCATATCTAAGGGCAGTGTATGGTGTAAATATTTTGCAGAGAATTTGTAGTGTGGAAATTTGGAGGAGGTGTGGAGTTACTAAAAGTATTATTCAGAGGGCTGAAGAGGGATTATTGAGGTGGTTTGGTCATTTAGAGAGGATGGAGCAAAATAGGTTGACTTGGAGGGTACATAAATCTGTAGTGGAGGGGAGGAAGGGTAGGGGTTATCCTAAGAGAGGATGGAGGGAGGGGGTAAAAGAGGTTTTTGTGTGCAAGGGGCCTGTACATGCAGCAGGCATGTGTGAGTGTTAGATACAAGTGAATGGAGGTAAATGGTTTTTGGACCTGACGAGCTGTTGGAGTATTAGAAGGGTAATGTTTTGTGAAGGGATTCAATGAAACAGGTTAGCCGGACTTGAGTCCTGGAGGTGGGAAGTATAACGCCTGCACTTTAAAGGAGGGGTTTGGAATATTGGCTGTTTGGAATGACATCTAACTGTCATATCTGGGCACCTCTGCAAAGACAGTGATATTGTGTGAATAATGTTGAAAGTTGCCTTGCCTCAGTTGGAAACAGCTGATGTATTAAAAAAAAAATATATAAATCCTGTCTCCATCTAAAAGTGGAGTAGAGTTCTCCCTCAAGCAGTGCATGTCATAAAAGGCATCTAAAATGCCAGGAGGAAGGGGCTAGTAACCCTCTTCTATGTATTTACTAAAATGAAAAAGAACAAAATTGGGTAGTAGGTTGGTAGACAGCAACCACCCAGGGAGGTACTACTGTCTGCCAAATGAGTGTGAAAACTGTAATTATTTTACAAAATGTTCGGATTTCTGGTGCCTTTTCTTTGTCTCATAAACATGAAAGATAACAGGTACATCTTGCTAGCTCTGCTTACATTTAGGTCACACTAAACATGCATGCACACATATATACACTCCCATCTGAGTTTTCTTCTATTTTCTTAATAGCTCTTGTTTTTTTTATTTTATTTTCATCTCCATGGGAGAGTGGAAAAGAATTCTTCCTCCTTAAGCCATGTATGTATGTATGTCGTAGGAGGCGACTAGAATGATGGAAGAAATGGGCTAGTACCCTCTTTCCCCGTATAAATTACTAAATGTTAAAAGAACAACAGCAACTTTATAAAGCATTTTTCTCTTTTTTGGGTCACTTTTCCTAAGTGGGAGACCTTGTGTGTTAAAGATTTTAAGTCGCTTTTTGCCTAGTTAAGATGTTGAATGCACTTACTCTCTTCAATACGTTGTATAAACATGCTTGCATACAATAATTAAAGAAAAACATGGATATTCAGTAGAGCTCATATTGTACAGTACAGTAGGTCCCCACTTATACGACAGGTTAGGTTCCAGGCTACTGCCGGAAAGCAGACATCGCTGGAAAGCAAAACGCCATTTGTTTCCACTTATAAATGTCAGATAATAAGTTTACACTAATATATATTAAGTTAGCAATAGAACAAGGCATTAAAAAACAATAAAAGTAAAATACACTGTACCACACACACAGTACACTCATTACTTACCTCAAAATATTTGTAGTCTTAATGTAGGGTGAGAAGTGAGTAGTGTTTATTGTAAGAAGTTAGGTGTGGTAGGTAATGGCAGCCGGCCAGGCCACCCCGCCCCACCCCTTGGTGCTCACGGAGAATGTAAACAAACCGGGTGGCACGCGTCATATTAGAAAGACAGGGAGCCATATAGAGTGTTTTGGTCATAATTTGAAATCACTGTATTAGTGGAATGCTGTAAGGCAAAACGCTGTAAAGCGGGGCCCTACTATATATGAAATATCTATTGACCAACTGGAAAGAAAGTGGAAAATCTTACCCAAGATAATTTAACAGGTCTTTGAAAGGAAAAAATGGAGAAAGCATGTTTTCAGGCTGTATAAGTCAGCTTGTGTTACAGTCTCGTGAGTTTGACATGTTACTTGGACGTTTGGAACCTGATGGACGCCGTACACCAGGCATCATTGATAAATTCAAGGTAAGGTTTGAAGTGTACCAAATTGGAATATGAAAATCTACATATTCTTCTTGAGAACCAAATTGGAATATGGAAATTTGTTATACTATTAGTATACATAATGATGGTGCCATAATACAGTGGACCCCCGGTTAACGAACTTTTTTCATTCCAGTAGTATGTTCAGGTGCCAGTACTGACCGATTTTTTTCCCATAAGGAATATTGTGAAGTAGATTAGTCCATTCCAGACCCCCAAACATACACGTACAAACGCACTTACATAAATACACTTACATAATTGGTCGCATTTGGAGGTGATCGTTAAGCGGGGGTCCACTGTATATGAAAATTAGCTATCACTAAGAATTATTATTAATAATAATAATAATGACTTAATTCAGTAACTAAATTATTAGACTGTTGAAAATTTGTTTGCCTATTTTCTTTTTAGATGTCTAACAAAGATAAAATTGCATTTTCAGGTTGATGTGAGTGAGGTAACACAAATGGTGGCACAAGACTCTGAAAAGAAGGGTCTTCATGAAGATGCAGTAAAGCTATATGATCTAGCAAAAGTAAAATATATAATTATGGCTTATTGTTTTTCACTTGTAAAAAAATTAATATATGATCTGCTCAATGTTTTTTGACAAGTTGTATTTTTCAATTTGTTGAAGATTACAAAACATAATTTCAAATGTACTGTTTAGAGTCTAGAAATACTTCAGTTGAATGTATTAAAAATAATTAAGATAGCACAGATTGGGCATATTTTTCTGTGAAATGGAAGTCAGTATAGGAAGAGGAGAAAAGAAGTGGAATACCAGATCAGTGAAAGATCTTGTTTCTGCTTACTCATCATAAGCCAAGAATTTTTACTCAAGTGCTGTGTGATGTTTAGTGTGATTTTTTCATTGGGAATGTATCAGAATTAATATATAAAGATGAGATGCAATATCTTGTAGAGTTGAAATAAGAAATTTTTGCAGAGGTATTTGGGTCACTTAGAAATAGGCAGGAGACAAGTTAGTTAAGTCATCTATGATGATATTAATGTGGAAAATATTCAGGGGATGGTATTTTTGTTATCAGCTACACCCACAGTGGCATAATTTGGTGATGTTGCATTTGTCTTCATCCATATTACTCTTTGAGTGGTTGGGGAAAAATTTCCTAATAAAGATCCTGCAAAAGTCAAATGTTTACAAAGTGAGTGGGACATAGGCAATTTCAATTATTTAAATTTATCCAGTGATGGAAATTTAAACCAATTTTGTAAACTTCTTCTTTCAACAAACCAGCCGTATCCCACCGAAGCGGGGTGGCCCAAAAGGAAAAACGAAAGTTTCTCCTTTTACATTTAGTAATATATACAGGAGAAGGGGTTACTAGCCCCTTGCTCCCGGCATTTTAGTCGCCTCTTACAACACGCATGGCTTAAGGAGGAAGAATTCTGTTCCACTTCCCCATGGAGATAAGAGGAAATAAACAAGAACAAGAACTAGAAAGAAAATAGAAGAAAACCCAGAGGGTGTGTATATAAATGTTTGTTGAAGATTGAGACACTTATGCAGCATATGGGAATCTTTATTCAGGAAACGTTTCGCCACACAGTGCAATACAAAGAGGAAGGCGTAAGGAGAGGAGGAGTATGAGGTAATCAGTCCCTCAGCCTGGAGTCGATGTGTTCAGTCCATCAATCTTGTAGATTGTAGATTGATGGACTGAACACATCGACTCCAGGCTGAGGGACTGATTACCTCATACTCCTCCTCTCCTTACGCCTTCCTCTTTGTATTGCACTGTGTGGCGAAACGTTTCCTGAATAAAGATTCCCATATGCTGCATAAGTGTCTCAATCTTCAACTTGTCGGTTTTTCAAACCATTCATCATAAATGTTTGTACATGTATGTGTAGTGTGACTTAAGTGTAAGTAGAAGTAGCAAGACTTACCTGAAAATCTTGCATGTTTATGAGACAGAAAATAGGACACCAGCAATCCTACCATCATGTAAAACAATTACAGGCTTTCGTTTTACACTCGCTTGGCAGGATGGTAGTACCTCCCTGGGTGGTTGCTGTCTACCAACCTACTACCTAGAATTTTGTAAACATTTAAAAAAATTAATAGTAGGTAGTAGGCTGGTAGACATCAACCACTCAGGGAGATACTACCATCCTACCAAGTGAGTGTAAAGAGGAAGCCTGTATTTTCTTTTACATGATGGTAGGATTGCTGGTGTTTTTTTTTTCTGTCTCATTAACATGCAAGATTTCAGGTACATCTTGCTACTTAAACTAAGGTCACACTACACATGCATGTACATGTTTATGCATACATAGTCATCTGAATTTTCTTTGATTTTATCGTAATAGTTCTTATTCTTATTGCTTTTCCTTTCATATCCATGGAGAAGTGGAATAAGAATCTTTCCTCCGTAAGCCATGCATGTTGTAAAAGTCAACTAAAATGCCGGGAACAATGGGCCAGTAACCCCTTTTCCTGTAATTACTAAAAAGAAAAAGAAGAAAACCGTCAAAGTGGGATGTTTGAATGTGCGTGGATGTTGTGCGAATGATAATAGAGATGACTGTGGATGTTATGAATGAAAAGAAGCTGGATGGCCTGGCTTTAAGTGAAACAAAGCTGAAGAGGATAGGAGAGTTTCAGTGGGGAGAAATAAATTGGATTAGGTCAGGGGTTTCAAACAGAGTTAGAGCTAAAGGAGTAGTAGCAATAATGTTGAAGGATAAGTTATGGCAGGAAAAGAGGGAACATAAATGTATAAATTCAAGGATTATGTGGAGTACAATAACGGTTGGATGTGAAAAGTGGGTTATAGTAAGTGTTTATGCACCTGGAGAAGAGAGAAGTGTAGAGGGGAGAGAGGGATTTTGGGAAAGGTTGAGTGAGTGTGTGGGGAGTTATGAACCAAGTGAGAGAGTACTTGTGGTTGGGGATCTCAATGCTAAAGTGGGTAAAAATGATGTGGAGGGAGTAGCAGGTAAATTTGGGGTGCCAGGGGGAAATAAAAATGGGAAGCCTTTAATTGAGCTATGTATAGAAAGGGGTTTGGTAATAAGTAATACATATTTAATGAAAATGAGGATAAATAAGTATACAAAGTATGATATAGCACGTAATGAAAGTAGTTTGTTAGATTATGTATTGGTGGATAAAAGGTTGATGGGTAGACTTCAGGATGTACATGTTTATAGACGGGCAATGGATATATCGGATAATTATTTAGTTGTAGCTAAAGTTAAAGTAATAGGTAGATGGGACACAAGGAAAATGGCAACAGCAAGTAAGAGAGAGGTAAAAGTGTATAAACTACGGGAGGATGAAGTTAGGGTGAGATATAAGCAACTGTTGGCAGAAAGGTGGGCTAATGCAAGTATGAGTAGTGGGGGGGAAGGGTTGAAGGGGGTTGGAATATTTTTAAAAATGCAGTATTAGAATGTGGGGCAGAAGTTTGTGGCTATAGGAGGGTGGGTGTAGGAGGAAAGAGGAGTGACTGGTGGAATGATGAAGTAAAGGGTGTGATGAGAGAAAAAAGGTAGCTTATGAGAGGTTTTTACAAAGCAGAAGTGTTGTAAGAAGGACAGAGTATATGGAGAGTAAAAGAAAGGTGAAGAGAGTGGTGAGAGTGTGCAAAAGGAGAGTAGATGAAAGAGTGGGAGTGGCACTGGCAAGAAATTTTGCTGAAAATAAGAAAAAATTTTCGAGCGAGATAAACAAGTTAAGAAAGCCTAGGGAAAGAATGGATTTGTCAGTATAGGGGAGTTAGTAGATGGGGAGGTGGAGGTATTGGATAGATGGCGAGAATATTTTGAGGAACTTTTAAATGTCGATGATGAAAGGGAGGCGGTAATTTCATTTACTGGTCAGGGATGTATAACATCTTTTAGGAGTGAAGAAGAGCAGGATGTGAGTGTGGGAAAAGTGCGTGAGGCATTATGTGGAATGAAAGGGGGTAAAGCAGCAGGAACCGATGGGATCATGACAGAAATGTTAAAAGCAGGGGGGGATATTGTATTGGAGTGGTTAGTATTTTTGTTTAATAAATGTATGAAAGAGGGGAAGGTACCTTGGGATTAGCAGAGAGCATGTATAGTTCCTTTTTATAAAGGGAAGGGGGACAGAAGAGATTGTAAAAGTTATAGGGGAAGAAGTTTACTGAGTATACCAGGTAAAGTGTATGGTAGGGTTATTATTGAAAGAATTAGAGGCAAGACAGAGAGTAGGATTGCAGATGAGCAAAGAGGCTTTAGAGTGGGTAGGAGATGTGTAGATCAAGTGTTTACATTGAAGCATATATGTGAACAGTATTTAGATAAAGGTAGGGAAGTTTTCATTGCATTTATGGATTTAGAAAAGGCATATGATAGAGTGGATAGGGGAGCAATGTGGCAGATGTTGCAAGTGTATGAAATAGGTAGTAAGTTACTAAATGCTGTGAAGAAATTTTATGAGGATAGTGAGGCTCAGGTTAAGGTGCATAGGAGAGTACTTCCCAGTAAAAGTAAGTCTTAGACAGGGATGTGTAATATCACCATGGTTGTTTAATATATTTATAGAAAGAAGTAAATACTAGGGTGTTGGGGAGAGGAGTGGGATTAAATTATGGGGAATCAAGTACAAAATGGGAGTTGACACAGTTACTTTTTGCTGATTATACTGTTCTTATGAGAGATTCTAAAGAAAAGTTGCAAAGGTTAGTGGATGAATTGGGGAGGGTGTGTAAAGGTAGAAAATTGAAAGTGAACATAGATAAGAGTAAAGTAATGGTATCGAATGATTTAGAGAGAGTATGGAAGAAGTGAATGTTTTCAGATATTTGGGAGTTGACTTGTCAGCAGATGGGGTTATGAAGGATGAGGTTAACCATAGCATTGATGAAGGAAAAAAGGCGAGTGGAGCATTGAGGTATCTGTGGAGGCAAAGAAGAGAATGTATGAAAGTATAGTGGTACCAACACTCTTATATGGGTGTGAAGCTTGGGTTGTAAATGCTGCAGTGAGGAGGCGGCTGGAGGCAGTGGAGATGTCCTGTCTAAGGGCAATGTGTGGTGTAAATATTATGCATAGAATTCGGAGTGTGGAAATTAGGTGTGGAGTTGCTAAAAGTATTAGTCAGAGGGCTGAAGAGGGGTTGTTGAGGTGATTTGGTCATTTAGAGAGAATGGATCAAAGTAGAATGACCTGGAGAACGTATAAATCTGTAGGGGAAGGAAGGAGGGGGAGGAGTCATTCTCGATAAGGTTGGAGGGAGGGGGTAAAGTAGGTTTTGTGGGCGAGGGGCTTGGACTTCCAGCAAGCATGTGTGAGCGTGTTAGATAGAAGTAAATGGAGATGAATAGTCTTTTGGACTTGACAAGCTGTTGGAGTGTAAGCAGGGTAATATTTAATGAAAGGATTCAGGGAAACCAGTTATTATAGATTTAGCCGGACTTGAGTCTTGGAAATGGGAAGTACAATGCCTGCACTTTAAAGGAGGGGTCTGGGATATTGATAGTTTGGAGGGACTTCTAAACTGTTGTATCTGAGTGCCTCTGCAAAGACAGTGATTTTGCGTGAGTGAGATGAAAGTGTTGAATGAATGAATGGGTCACCCTGCCTCGGTGGGAGATGGCTGACTTGAGAAAAAAAAAAAGTTTAAAAATAGTGCAGGAAGAATGAAGCACCAACTACTATAAACTTAAGGTGATAGAAATTGTTATGACAAGCTGAAGGTAGATTGATGCATCATGTTAAAATTTACACACAGAAAATATTCTAAGGTTAACTTGGATATTGAGGAGATACAATGATAGATATTATCCTAAGAGGTAGGTAATGATAGATAAGCTGTTTTAGATTTCTTTGCTTTTGTTAACAGAATCATGAGAAAGTGGTGTCACTGCTGAACCAGCTGCTGAGTCAAGTCGTACATCAGACTGAAGGTGGTAGTGGTAGTCAGCGTGGACGTGTTGTTGAGTTAGCAACTGCTGTAGCACTCCGCTTCAAGACGCATGGCCACAAAACTCATCCCAATAATGCTGCTACATTGCATCTTCTCTTGGATCTGACAACTTTTTTTGATCTGTATCATAAAGAAAGATTTATGGATGCTCTAGAGGTGAGTACTGCATTTCCTTCATTTTATGTAAAAAAGTATCTCCCAGTAATAGATATTGTTTATACAGTGATGATATCACTCGGTATTATTACTCACCCGTAGGTCATCCTCACTCACATAAATACCTAGGGGTAAGCATAGTGCTTTGTATATCACCAGAGGCTCATATCAACTGAATAACTTCTGCAGCCAGTACTCATCTGGTAAATCTAAGAGCAGCCTTCAGCAATGTCAAACCAAGTCATTCAAGCCCTTTATTCAGTGTACAGGTATGTAAGCCCATTATGGAGTATGCAACACTAACATACAACCCACACCTGAAATAGCATGTTAAGAATTTGGATAAAGTGCAGAGTTATGCAACGAGTTTAGTTCCAGAACTAACTGATATAAACTACAAGGAGAGGCTAGTGATTCTTGAATCTAACAACATTGGAGCACAGTCAAGACTACACCAGTGGAAAGAGACAACTGTGGCTGAAATGTATTTGCTTTTTGCAACAATAATGCTTATGCCTCATGTCTATAAGCATAATATAAAATCATACTGGTCCACAGATTGGCTAATTTGTACCCCGGCCTTCAGTGAAATCATCCCAGTGAACAGGTTTGTCTTACTCGTACATATGTTGCACTTCTCTGACAAAACCATGCCTGACAGAAGTGACAGGTTATACAAGATTAGAAATGTTTTTATGTATCTGACACAAAAGTTCAGCATGTACTTTTATCCATTCAAGAATCTTGTAATTGACAAATCTTTGATTTTGTTCAAAGGTAGACTGTTATTCAAGCAGTATATACCGAGCAAGAGGAAACACTTTGCTATAAAACTGTTTGTACTCTGTGACTGTGACAGTGGGCTGGTATTGGATATTATTGTATACATGGGAAGTAAAACATTGAAAGATACCAGGATGTTATTGGGTATCTCAGGTGATGTAGTGAGAAACATGATGGCACCTTGTCTTGGTAAGGGGCATACATTATATACTGATAAGTGGTACACAAGCCGTTTACTCAGTGATTTCTTGTGAGTGAACATGACAGATGTGTGCGGCACAGTGCGTTCTAATTGTAAACACATGCCGAGGTTCAACGCAGGCACTCGTGCTGGTGAGGTGCAGGTGTTTACTGCCAATGACGTCATGGCATTACTGTGGCATGACAAACGAGATGTCACATTGTTGACAACCATTCACCCTAATGAAGTGAAAGACAGTGGCAAAGTTGATAGAGTGACCAATAAACATATTTGAAAACCAGTAACAGTGATTGATTATGCACAAAACATGCATTTGGTTGACAAATGTGACGTGCAGATTGGCTTTGTTGATTGTGTTCATAAGAGTTACAAGTGGTACATGAAACTTTTCTTCCATCTCGTGGATATTTCAATGCTCAGTGCATATAATATGTACCAAATAAAGACCGGCAACAGACCACCATATGGTGAATTTTTTTTGTCTGTTGTCAGACAACTCATAATGAAGTACCATGTAACAACACCTGCCATACAAAATCATCCTCGAACTCCTCAGGAAATACCCAAGCATTTGAGGAGGGAAGGTGATCACTTCCTAATACAGCTTCCTGCAACTAAGAAGAAATGGGCTCAGAAGAGATGTGTTGTCTGTGCACAAACAAAACGACGGGAACAAAGGCACAAAAACACTCGGTTTATGTGCAAGGAATGTAAGATACCACTGTGCATGATACCTTGTTTCAAGGACTTCCACAGACTGCAGCAGTTCTAGAAACATGTCCAGTGGCTGTGCATATGTAAATATATAATAGAACATTAGTAATATACAACATTTGTGCATGTTTATTGTTGTAAACAATACTGGTAAACAATATTATAATAATAACTTTAGTGTGGTTATTGTGCTCAATACAGTGAGTGTGTATATATACATTATATACAGTATTGGTCTCACAAGCCACAAATGTTAGTAGAAAAAGAAAAAAATTAGAAAAGAAAAAAAAAAGTATAAAAAACATAACATAAAGAAATGCGATTTTGCGGAAGTCACTGATGTTGCCACCACCCGGTCATTTTGGGTCAACTTCCTGCCTCTATATCTCGGTAAGTACTAATCACAAATATTTTTTTGTTTTATTACCTTCACAAAATTATTATCTTTAATTCTGTAAGAATTTTTTTTTTATTTTTTTTTATTTTATTTATTTTTTTTCAAAATTTCTTGGACACTGGGGCACCCTTTGAAATTTTGCCTCTGGACCCTGAAAGGGTTAGAAGCAAAAGCTGTTAACCCTTTTAGGTGTCTTAAGAATTAAAAAAAAAAGTTTGTCATTTTTTTCTTATGAAATGGTAGAGAATCTTTTTTTGAAAATAATAAAACAAAAGGTATGAAATTTGATGGAAAATTGACGAAACTACACTATCATGAACTTTACTGCGTCAGCGAGATTTATGCATTGGTGATTTTGCCCACTTTGACTCCTATTTTAGGCCAATTGCATTATTCCAGTTGACCAAATTCTTAGCTAGTTTGCTGGTATTACTTCTGTTTTATTGACTGAGCACAAGAAACTGCCCAGTCATCTATTTCAACTACCCAATAAAGTGATCAGAAATTGGTAATTTGGCCAATTTCATACAAAGTTCAAAATATTCCAGTTTCAAAATGGGTTCCAAAATAAACAAAGCAGGTATTCCTGACGCTAAAATAACATTTTCGATGTTCATTAGTTATGTTTCCAAGCTTTACAGATGAATTACATTTTGATTTTTTATTTTACACCAAAAATAGAAGATTTACTGTTATGCAATATTGTAATAATTGTATAACTATTGTCAATGCATTTGTGAACATATATTAGACCCACCAGTTGACATGTATTGGACGCATGACTTCATTTGTTTACTCTTGAACATCAGCAAAAATTTAATTTAACATTTACGCTATTTTGAGCTCAGTTTCATGCTATTTTCAGTACTAAAACCAATCAATGTCACTATGGTTGCAAATACAACCATAAAAGTTGGTTTTAATCCAAAAACACGGTTGCATTTTTTCTCTGTATGTACTGCGTGCTGCAGGATTTGTTTGAAATAGTGCACACTTACCATGTAGATCCATTCTCTCATATCTAGCCCCAAATTTACCTCTCACAGCTTATCTGAGTGAGATGAGCTCATGACAGATCTGTGGCTTGGACCCTCAAAGGATTAAGAAAAGCCAAAGAAAACTCAGATGAGTATGTATATATAATTGTATACATAAATGTGTAGTGTGACCTAATTGTAAGTAAAAGTAGCAAGGTATACCTGTTATCTAGTGTGTTTATGAGACAGGAAAAAGACATCAGCATTCCTACAATCATGTAAAACAAATACAGGTTTCTGTCTTAAACTCATTTAGCAAGACAGTAGTATTTTCATGGGTGGTTGCTATCTACCAACCTACTACTGTTAAATTCTTGTATGGGGAATATATTTTGTAGTGTAACTTCAGTCATTTAAATATGGGAATGCTACTTTGATTTGTAAATCAGGAAACGATCATTGTGGCATAGTGTTTCTTTTTCAGTGGTCTTTAAACACACATTTCTTATCTAGGATATGTTATTTAAATTAACTTCCATGTTTACAGTATAAACTGACTGAAATATTTTTCTTAGGTTCTGAAAAAGCTTCGTATTATTGCTTTGAGACGAGATGAAGTGGAAACTCGCGTTGCAGGAGTGACAGCTCAGGGAAGTGAAATACGTAGTGTGCTCCCCCATGTTCTTTTAGCAGCCATGACTACAACACATCGATTGTATCGTATGCCTGCCCAGCCACAGAGTCCTCAAACTTCTTTTAATACATCTACTACAGTAACTTCTCCAGCCACCAAAGTAAGAGAGAGAGAGAGAGAGAGATGGAGTGAATGATGATGAAAGTTTTTCTTTTTCGGGCCACCCTGCTTTGGTGGGAATCGGCCGATGTGTTAATAAAAATATATAATTTTTTTTTTCCAACAAGTTGGCCATCTCCTACCAGGGGCAGGGTGACCCGAAAAGAAAGAAAATCCCCAAAAAGAAAATAATTTCATCATCATTCAACACTTTCACCTCACTCATACATAATCACTGTTTTTGTAGAGGTGCCCAGAATACAACAGTTTAGAAGCATATACATATAAAGATATATAACACATCCCTCTAAACTGCCAATATCCCAAACCCCTCCTTTAAAGTGCAGGCATTGTACTCCCATTTCCAGTACTCAAGTCCGATTATAAAAAAATAACTGGTTTCCCTGAATCCCTTCACTAAATATTACCCTGCTCACACTCCAACAGATCGTCAGGTCCCAAATACTATTCGTCTCCATTCATTCCTATCTAACACGCTCACGCACGCCTACTGGAAGTCCAAGCCCCTCACCTACAAAATCTCCTTTACCGCCTCCCTTCAACCTTTTCGAGGATGACCCCTACCCCAACTTCCTTCCCCTACATGTCATTCTACTTTGATCCATTCTCTCCAAATGACCAAACCACTTCAACAACCCCTCTTAAGCCCTCTGATTAATACTTTTATTAACTCCACACCTCCTAATTTCCACACCACACTCCGAATTCTCTGCATAATATTTACACTGCACATTGCCCTTAGACAGGACGTCTCAACCGGCTCCTCGCTTCAGCATTTACAACCCAAGCTTAACACCCGTATAAGAGTGTTGGTACCACTATATTTTCATACATTCTCTGCTGTGCCTCCATAGATAACATTTTTTGTCTCCACATATACCTCAATGCACCACTCGCCTTTTTTTCTTTAACAATTCTATGGTTAACCTCATCCTTCATAAATCCATCCGCTGACACATAAACTCCCAAATATCTGAAAACATTCACTTCTTCCATACTCCTCTCCAATTTGATATCCAATTTTTCCTTAAGTCAGTTGATACCCTCATCACCTTACTCTTTTCTATGTTCACTTTTGACTTTCTACCTTTACACACACACACCTAAACTCATCCACTAACCTTTGCAACTTTTCTTTAGAATCTCCCATAAGCACAGTATCATCAGCAAAAAGTAACTGTGTCAATTCCCATTTTGTATTTCATTCCTCATAATTTAATCCTACCACTCTCCCCAACACCCTAGCATTTACTTCTTTTACAACCTCATCTATAAATATATTAAACAACCATGGTGACATTACACATCCCTGTCTAAGACCTACTTTTACTGGGAAGTAGTCTCCCTCTCTTCTACACACCCTAACCTGAGCCTCACTATCCTCATAAAAACTCTTTACAGCATTTAGTAACTTACTACCTATTCTATATATTTGCAACATCTGCCACATTGCTCCCCTATCCACTCTATCATATGCCTTTTCTAAATCCATAAATGCAATGAAAACTTCCCTACCTTTATCTAAATACTGTTCACATATATGCTTCAATGTAAACACTTGATGTACTCATCCCCTACCCACTCTAAAACCTCCTTGCTCGTCCGCAATCCTACATTATGTCTTACCTCTAATTCTTTCAATAATAACCCTATCATACACTTTTCCTGGTGTACTCAGAAAACTTATTCCTCAATAATTACTTAGTTTCAATATATCATGGAATTACCCAGATAACTGCAATCAAATCTGTCCCAGACTTCAGCTTGGCCGATTTCATGGCACTGAGAAATTACCTGGGTGGGCTAAATTGAGATGACCTGAACATGGGTCAGGTTGGTAGTGTTGGTTGCCAATATGACGGTTTTCAGAGCCTAGTTCTAGCTGCCCAGACAACTTTTGTTCCGAGAAGGGAAAACAGATCTAACAAAAATGATCCCAAATGGATGAACAATAGATTAAAACATCTCATTGGTCAAAAGAGAGGAATATATAGGTGTATCAAAAGAGGGGATGGGCAGTTAAGAAATCAATATATTCAGTTAAAGAGAGAAATATAAAAAAGAATAAGAAAGCTAAAAGGGTTATGAGGCTAAGGTCACAAGGGACTCGAAGACTAACCGAAAAGGGTTCTTTCAGGTATCCAGAAGTAAGATTAGGGGCAAGGTAGACCACTTAAGAGTAACTCGGGTCAGATCACTGACAGTGATAACGATATGCATGAAATTTTCAATACTTACTTCCTCTCAGTTTTTACTCAGGAAGATACTAGCGAAATTCCAGAAATAATAAATTATGTAGAACAGGACGATAATAAACTTTGAACGATTGGAGTAACTAGTGACGTGGTCCTCAGACAAATAAAGAAAATAAAACCTAACAAATCCCCAGGCCCTGATGAATTGTTTGCAAGAGTTTTAAAGGAATGTAAAGAGTAACTTAGCAAACCTTTAGCTAATCTTTTCAACATATCACTACAAACTGGCATAGTGCCGGATAAGTGGAAAATGGCAAATGTAATACCTATTTACAAGGCAGGTAACAAGTCCTTAGCTTCGAACTATAGGCCAATAAGCCTTACCTTCATAGTGGGAAAATTTATGGAATCAATAATTGCCCGGGTAATTCGTAGCCATCTTGAAAGGCATAAATTGATTAATGAATCTCAACATGTTTTTACAAAGGGGCATTCCTGTCTTACAAATTTACTAATTTTTTCACCAAGGCATTTGAGGAGGTAGATCATGGTATTGAATATGATCTTGTGTATATGGACTTCAGCAAGGCTTTCAATAGAGTTCCACATCGGAGGCTATTAAGAAAACTTAAGGCACACGGAATAGGAGGAGAAATTTTTTCCTGGGTAGAGGCATGGTTGACAAATGGGCAGCAGAGAGTTTGCATAAATGGGGAGAAATCAGAATGGGGGCACGTCACAAGTGGTGTTCCACAGGGGTCAGTGTTGGGCCCCTTGTTGTTCACAATTTACATAAACGACATAGATGAGGGAATAAATAGCGACATAAGCAAATTTACTAATGACACCAAAATAGGCCATCCAGTTCATTCTAACGAGGACATTAGATCACTCCAGGATGATTTGAATAGACTGATACAATAGTCAAAGAAGTGGCAGATGCAGTTTAATATAAACAAATGCAAGATTCTAAATATTGGAAAGGATAATAACCATGCCACATATAAACTAAATAATGTAGAACCTAATATTACGGATTGCGAAAAGGATTTAGGAGTTCTGGTTAGCAGTATCCTGAAACCAAGACAGCAGTGCATAAGCGTTCGCAATAAAGCTAACAGAAACCTTGGCTTCATGGACCTGCTCCGTGTGGGTCAGTAGGCTTGTTGCAGTGTTCCTTCTTTCTTATGTTCTTAAAAGATGGTCTGTGAAGATAATTACTTGCTCTCAGTAGCCTGAGATCTTTCATGAAAGTAACATGGTTGTGTATGAGGCCAAACATGCACAAGTTTTTGATAGGGGATTAAAGTTAAGGTTTTAGGGATTGCTACTTGCATGGGCCTCCAGGAGCATAGTTTAAAATGTCAAAACATACAACCATATAGTACTACGTAGTACTGAGGCACCAACAATGACCTCAAACTTGTAGTATGGTATGGACGGTGAAGTGGTCATTACAGTACACTCTTATGGAGCTCCTCAATATTTTTTGTAAATGTGATTGAAAAAGTTTGTTCAAAATTGAATAGCTCAAACTATGAAGGCCTGTTCAAACTATTCAGTCTAGGCAGCCCTATTTAGGGCAGGGAAGATATCAGAGCTGGAATAGCTACAGATAATTTGCAGCCTTCATCAAGCCTGTTAAGGATTTAAATTACTGGAAATGCCTCAGTCCTAAATATGTACGTACTTGCTGGAGCAGAGGAGAGAGAGAGATAAATGAAGATATATTTTCATGGAAAGTACTGGAAGACCTAGTTCCAAACGTGCACACTGCGTAACATACTGGAGTGAGAACTATGGAAGAGTGTAAAATAAACCCAGTGAAAAGCAGGGGCACTATAGGCACAATAAGAGAATATTGTGTCAATATTTGTGGTCCCAGACTTTTCCACATCTTACCAGAAGATATCAGAAACACTGCTAGGACAAGTGTGGAGGTTTTTAAGAGGAAACTAGACTAGTATCTCCAAATACCAGATCAACCAGTAGTGAAACTCTTCAAAGGTAACCAGGCTGTGATGAATATGTAGGCCATCAAGCTTCCAGCAGCAACAGCCTGGTTGACCAGGCAAGCACCATACAAGCTTGGCAACCAAAAAAAGAGTAAACACATTTGCCATCACTCATTCAATCACTGTCTTGCCAGAAGCATGCCTGCATCACAGTTCAGATGACCTTCCGACTGCAACATCCTCACCACTCCTTCAGAGTGCAGGCAATGTCCTCCAACCTCCAGGACTCAAATCTGGCTAACCAATTTCCCAGAATCCCTTCATAAACATTACATTGCTCATACTCCAACAGCATGTCAGGTCACAAAAACTATCTCCATCCACTCACTCTTGATCTAGCATGCTCACACAAGCCTTTTGAATGTCAAAGCCCCTAGCACTTAAAATCTGCTTTAACCTATCCTTCCAGCCCTTCCTGGGATAACCCCGACACCTTTGCTCTACCCCTGATTTATACATCCTCCTAGTCATCCAATTTTACTCCATCTTAATTGCCCATACTACCTCAATTCCTCAGCTGTCTGACTTATATTACTGTTAATCCAATACACAATTCCCACACTCCGAGTTATTTGCATAACATTCACACTACATATCACCTTTAAACACATTTTCACTGCCTCCATCCTCCTCCTTGCTGCAGTGTTTAAAATCCATGCTTCACAACCACATAACAGTGTTGGTACCACTACACTCTGGTACATTATGCTTTTTGCCTCCATGAGTAAAGTTGTTTGTCCACAGATGCCTCATTGCACCACCCACTTTTTTCAGTTTTAGTATGTGGTTTATAGTACCTCTTCATTGATAGACCCATCTGCCAGCTGACCCACTTCCAAATATCTGAACACATTTACTTCCTCCATACTCCATCAAATCTAATATCCAGTCTTCAGTTGCTTAAATTTTTTTATTTATTGCCTTGCTCTCCTTGATGTTCACTTTTAATTTAATTCTTTTACAGACTACCAAATTCCTCCTCCAACCTTGGTAACTGCTCTTCAGAATTTCCCAAAAGTGCTGTATTATCAGCAAAGAACAACTCCTATTTTGTATCTAATTCATTATCTTTTAATCCCACATCTCTCCCAACACCCTAGCATTAACTTCTTTAGCAACCCTCTCTGTAAAAACATTCACTGTATGACCCTTGTCGGTTTAACGCTTTCTTTGATTATAAATAATAATAATGATAATGTAAAAACATTAACTAACAATGGTTACCTCACACATCCTTGTCTATGGCCTCCTTTTACTAAAAAAAAAAAAAAAACTTTCTAAAATCGTGGACCTCCTATTTTCTTTCCACAGTTGATCATTTAACCCTTTAACTGTCACAACCCCAAATCCTAAAGTCTCTCTTTCTGTCGCAAAAAAAAAAAAAAAAAAAATTCATATGAAATGATAGAGAAATCTTTTCCTGATGGTAATGACACCAGAAGTATGAAATTTGATGGAAAACTTGTAGAATTAAGCTCTCGCGAAGTTAGCGATCTCAGCAATGTATATGCGTCGGCGATTTCGCCCACTTTGAGCCCTATTTTCGGCCAGTTCCATTGTTCCAGTTGACCAAACTCAGCTATTTCTTTAGAACTCCATTTGTTCTATTGACTGAGTACAAGAAACTGCCCATTTACCGATTTCAACTACCCAATAAAGTGGTCAGAAATTGGCAATTTGGCCAATTTTACACAAATTAAAAAAATACCAATTTCAAAATAGGGTCCAGAATAAACAATGCAGACATTCCTGGCACTAAAATAACATTTTCTCTGTTCATTATTCATGTCTCCAGGCCCCTCTTATATTGCTCTTGCTTTTTATTTTGAATTTTTATTCACACAAAAAATAGAAGATTTACTGTTATGCAGACTACAATTATTTATACAGTTATTGTAATAATTGTATAAATAATGTCAACCCATTCGTGACTGCGTATTAGACTGACCAGTTGGACACACATTGGACGGTGACGTCATTTGTTTACCCTTGAACATCAGCAAAAATTGAACATTTTCACTACTTTGAGCTCAATGTCAAGGTCATTTTCATCGTGAAACCAATCAAAATCATCTCTATTTCTGTAATGTGTCTTCCATTCTATCAAATGAGACCAAGAAAATGAGAATACAGCCATAAATACTATGTGAAAATACACCTCAAAGTTGGCGTTTTAATCCAAAAACACGGTCGTAGTTTTTTTCTCAAGCACAGTGTGCTGCCAGATTTTTTATGTTAATAACCATCTCTAGCCAAGGCAGAGTGAACCAGGGTGAACATTCACTATCATTCATTCAATTTCTGTATTTTCAGAGGTATACTGACATCATAATACAGATTACAATGACTAACATCCCACCCCTCCTCCTGGGTGCAGGCACCATGATTCCCCAAGTCCAGGACTGATTAACCAGTTTCTCTGAATCCCTTCATAATAGTTGCCTTGTTCAAATTCCAACAACACATTCATTAATTAACATTTAAGGGTATAAGAGAATACAAATAAAAAAGTCTTAGCACTATCAAGAGGAAGACCCAGAGGCCATAGTTGTAAATTGACAAAAATAATGCCTGAAAGATACTAAAAAAAAAAATGATGCCTGAAAGATACTAAAAAAAGTTTGTTCAATGTGGTATAACAATGGAATGATATACAGAAGATATAAGGGCTACAATCATTGGAAATTAAAAAATTACTATATGAAAGTCCTAACACTGAAAATGAGATATAAGAAGCATAGCTCTTCTTCTCGTGCATTGAAATATGATGTACGTATATTGAAAATTTTCCATTTGTTTTACTAATGCATGAATAAAAATAAGAAATTTAAACAGGAATATAAAGAGTGTAGGAAAAGTAAAATTTCCCATTAATTACTATTTAATTTTTTTTTATGGTAAGGAATCCTTATAATATGCCTGTAAAGTAATTGATTGTATTTCTTCCTGACAGCACCTACAAGAACAAGCACGAGCCATTGTCACTTTTGCCGGTATGATACCCATGAGACTGCATTCTGAGATAAATGCCCGCCTTGTACAGCTGGAGGCTCTCATTAACTAGTAGGCATTGCCCATCAATTAATATTTTTATTTTATATACTTTTGGTGAGATATATAAAATTTTAAGCTTTTGTGGTGAATTGACTTGTGTACTTGACTATGTACTAGGTCCTTGCTGTGTATAGTCTAGGATTGGCTTAATAAATGTAAAGTTTCTTTAACTGATTATGTGTTTAGATTCCCTATACTTGGTTCTAATATTTATGAGTAATGCATGTACTGCAGCTATGTCTATTTGTATTCACCTTAGCAGAGGTCAGATCTGAGGTTGTGTGAGATAAATTTGTACAGATGTTTTGCTTTTAACCCTTTGGGGGTCGACAGGTCCTCTCAGAGACTTGTTCTCAGGGTCGGCCAAATTTAAAAAAAAAAAAAAAAAATATTTTTCTTATGAAAAGATAGAGAATCTTTTCCCGATCATAATGACACCAAAAGTATGAAATTTGATGGAAAGCTTACGGAATTGTGCTCTCGCGAAGTTAGCGGTCTCGATGACGTTTACGCATCAGCGATTTTGCCCACTTTGAGTTCTATTTTCGGCCAATTCCAGTGTACTAGTCGACAAAAATCATAACTATTTAGCTAGTACTCCATTTTTTCTATCGAATGAGTACAAGAAACCAGCTATTTACCAATTTCTACTATCCAATAAAGTGGTCAGAATTTAGCAATTTTGCCAATTTCACACAAATTTCAAAAGATGCCAATTTCCGAATAGGGTCCAGAATAAACAAGAAAGACTTCTTGGCACTAAAATAAGTTTTCTGTTCGTTAGTCACATCCCCAGGCCCCTCTAATATTTCTTTGGCTTTCCACCTTGAAGTTTTATTCTTACAAAAAAAATAAGATTTACTGTTATGCAGACTACTGCATTAGTGTAGAAATGGTATAAATAATATCAGTGCACTTGTGAAAGAATATTAGACTCACCAGTTGATGTGTATTGGATGCTTGGCATAATTTGTTTACTTTTGAACTTTGGTAAAAATCGAACATTTCTGCTACTTTGAGCTCAATTTCAAGGTACTTTTCATTGTAAAACCAGTCAAAATCATCTCAATTTCTGTAATATGTTTTCCATTCTATAACGTGAGACCAAGAAAACTAGAATACAACAATAAATACCATACGAAAATACAGTGCAAAGTCGCTGTTTTAATCCAAAACACGGTCAAAGTTTTTTTTTTCTCATTACGCACTGTGTGCTGCAAGATTTTTTTTTATACTGCGCACACTGACCACATAGACCCATTCTTTCATATGTAGGCCTACCACCTTTCTCTCACTAGATTTGAAGGCGCTAGAATTTAGGCATACTAGTACGTCAAAAACCCTGGGTCGTAAGACGTACTAGTACGTCCGAAACCACCAAAGGGTTAATGGATGCATTTCCTTGAATGTTATTACACAGATTCCATGAATGTAAGTGGCAAAACTTGGAAAGACTTTGTCAAAAAAAAATCGTACATCACCTTTACTGTAAGGCCAAGCCCATGATGACACTCTTCAGGTCACTTGTTCTATCTAGGCTGGAGTATTGCTGCACACTAGCAGCACCTTTCAAGGCAGGTGAAATTGCCGACCTAGAAAATGTACAGAGAACTTTCACGGCGCGCATAACGGAGATAAAACACCTCAATTACTGGGAGCGCTTAAGGTTCCTAAACCTGTATTCCCTGGAACGCAGGAGGGAGAGATACATGATTATATACACCTGGAAAATCCTAGAGGGACTAGTACCGAACTTGCACACGAAAATCACTCACTACGAAAGCAAAAGACTTGGCAGACGATGCACCATCCCCCCCAATGAAAAGCAGGGGTGTCACTAGCACGTTAAGAGACCATACAATAAGTGTCAGGGGCCCGAGACTGTTCAACTGCCTCCCAGCACACATAAGAGGGATTACCAACAGACCCCTGGCAGTCTTCAAGCTGGCACTGGACAAGCACCTAAAGTCAGTTCCTGATCAGCCGGGCTGTGGCTCGTACGTTGGTTTGCGTGCAGCCAGCAGCAACAGCCTGGTTGATCAGGCTCTGATCCACCAGGAGGCCTAGTCACAGACCGGGCCGTGGGGGCGTTGACCCCCGGAACTCTCTCCAGGTAAACTCCAGGTAAGGTCATTTGATGCCAGTGAGGTAATATTAACCCCTTGACTGTCGAAACCCCAAATCCTGAGGTGTCTCGGGGTGTCGAAAAATTTTTGAAAAAAAAAAAAAAATGAAATTATAGAGAATCTTTTCCCCATGGTAATGACACCAAAAGAACGAAATTTGATGGAAGACTTACAGAATTATGCTCTCGCGAAGTCAGCGATCTCGGCGATATTTACGAATTGGCGATTTCGCCCACTGTGAGCCCTATTTTTGGCTAATTCCATTGTTCCAGTCGACCAAACTCATAGCTATTTCTTAGTTCTTAGCTTGGATTTTGCATAGGAATAGAAATATTTTGGGTTTCTTGCAATATCCTATATGGCCTTTTGTTCCCTTTGTACTTCTTCTGTTAGGTATGACATCCTAAGTTTTTGCTCTAATTCAGTGATTCTCTGCTATGACTATCTTTCCTCTGTTGCAGCATATTCTGTACCATCTCCTATGCTCTCTATATCTGATCATCTTCTGGGTTTCCTCGGTGGTACATACTTCATACATACCTTGTATGCTTCTGTATTCAGCTTCTCTAGGCACTGGTGGGGATTTAGGGTGCTCATGTCTGATTCCCAGGATATATCTCATAGCTCTTCGTTTATTTTTTCCCAGTCAGTTCTACGGTTCTTAAAATTAAACTTACTGAACATCCCGTCTCTAACATTAGTGATGCAGTTCCCTAACCCTGAGTTAATACTTGTATGTACTTGTATGATGTGATCACAGTATATCGTTTGTGTAACTGTTATGTCTCTGATTGGTTCCTCGTTGTTTGTGAATATCTAATCCATGGTATTTTCATTTCTAGTGGGATCAATTATCTGTTGATTCACACAAAGTGGGAGTTGTTACAGTTGCTCTTTGCTGATGACACTGTGCTTTTGGGAGATTCTGAAGAGAAGTTGCAGAGGTTGGTGGATGAATTTGGTAGGGTATGTAAAAGAAGAAAATTAAAAGTGAATACAGGAAAGAGTAAGGTTATGAGGATAACAAGATTAGGTGATAATAGATTGGATATCAGATTGGAGGGAGAGAGTATGGAGGAGGTGAATGTATTCAGATATTTGGGAGTGGACGTGTCAGTGGATGGGTCTGTGAAAGATGAGGTGAATCATAGAATTGATGAGGGGGAAAGGGTGAGTGGTGCACTTAGGAGTCTGTGGAGACAAAGAACTTTGTCCTTGGAGGCAAAGAGGGGAATGTATGAGAGTATAGTTTTACCAACGCTCTTATATGGGTGTGAAGCATGGGTGATGAATGTTGCAGCGAGGAGAAGGCTGGAGACAGTGGAGCTGTCATGTCTGAGGGCAATGTGTGGTGTGAATATAATGCAGAGAATTCGTAGTTTGGAAGTTAGGAGGAGGTGCGGGATTGCCAAAACTGTTGTCCAGAGGGCTGAGGAAGGGTTGTTGAGGTGGTTTGGACATGTAGAAAGAATGGAGGAAAACAGAATGACTTCAAGAGTGTATCAGTCTGTAGTGGAAGGAAGGTGGGGTAGGGGTCGGCCTAGGAAAGGTTGGAAGGATGGGGTAAAGGAGGTTTTGTGTGCGAGGGGTTTGGACTTCCAGCGGGCATGCGTGAGCGTGTTTGATAGGAGTGAATGGAGACAAATGGTTTTTAATACTTGACGTGCTGTTGGAGTGTGAGCAAAGTAACATTTATGAAGGGATTCAGGGAAACCGGCAGGCTGGACTTGAGTCCTGGAGATGGGAAGTACAGTGCCTGCACTCTGAAGGAGGGGGTGTCAATGTTGCAGTTTAAGAACTGTAGTGTAAAGCACCCTTCTGGCAAGACAGTGATGGAGTGAATGATGGTGAAAGTTTTTCTTTTTCAGGCCACCCTGCCTTGGTGGGAATCGGCCAGTGTGCTAATAAAAAAAAAAAAAATTAATGAGTACATTTCACAAAGCCTCATTAGTTCCCTGGTATGTGCCTGTTGAGCCAAGGTGCTTCTCGGAGATATTTCTGGTATAACATTGTGTTGTACCATCTTCCATTTTACATGAGGGAGATTAAAATCTCCAGGGAGTAAAATATTTGGTGTGGGATTTTCTAACATATCCAGATAACTGTCTATCTTCCTTAACTGATCTGTGAATTCCTCAGCAGTTGCTGTTGGTGGTTTGTATACTAGGATAATTACCAAATTCCTATTTTCAACTTGTATGCTGAGGATTTCTACTATATCATTTGTAGAGTTCAGCACTTCTGTGCAACAGAAAGTATCTTTTACATAGAATCCTACTCCTCCCTGTGACCTATTAATTCTATCACATCTATAGTTTTCTATCTTTCTCCATCCAAAACATCCATTCTATGTGGTTCCGTAAATGCACCAAATGTGGCATTCACTTCTGATAGGAGCCCACTGACATTACTAACTTTGTCATTTTTATTTGATTTCAGACCCTGAATATTTGCAAAGATGAAGCAGGAATTACCATTTGGGATGCTTTTTTTTTTGCTTTGTGTTTCGTTAGTACCACTGGTGATGTACTACGTGGTATGGCCCCTGGTGTACACACTCCTGGTTTCTCCAGTACTGACTTTGCATTTGATTGTTCATTTGACCCTGATGGGCTGATGCCTGGTTTGGTATGTCCCATTTTGCTGCCCATCTGTCCCCTCTGTACCATTCCCCCTTTTTGTCTCTTTCTTTGGTCAGATCGTTTCTCTTTATGTCTAAAAAAGATTGATGTTCATTTTCCCTTTCTCTGTAGTGCCACATTGCTTTTATATGGTGGTCTGGGCAGCTCAGGTCATAACATTTCCTGGGTGGAAGTACCTGCACTCTGTCAAAGCGACACTGTCCCTTTCTCAACATGTTCGCACATTTTTTGTTGTTTGTATTCCAGCAAGCTCTGCCATATAGGCACATACCTTTTGCATAGTTCTGACTGCCTACATTTACTGATTTTGTGTCTTTCCCAAGTTCTGCCACCTGATCTGAGTTCTCTTGTTCTCTTTCATCTAGGCATATTTCTTCCCTTCGTTTGTCTCTGCTCTAGCTATCTCTTCCTCCCTTTCCCTTCTCTCTCTATGTTATGTACCCACGTTTTGTTCTTTTCCGACTTGCTCTGAATGACGTTCAAGGAGGGGTGCTGGGAGGTGGGGATCTGTGGAATGAGGGTAGGGATGCACTTGCACAATTTGTTCCCATATATTGTACACTATTACTTGGGATTAATTAAGATTACTCTTATCCACAATTTCAGTTCACTATATCACTGCCCATTCATAACCTTATCCCTCGTTATATCGCTTATACATAGTTCAATATTCATGTGTCTGTCTGTCTGCTCTCTCTCTCTCTCTCTGTCTCTCTCTGTCTCTCTCTCTCTCTCTCTGTCTCTCTCTCTGTCTCTGTCTCTCTGTCTTGTCTCTCTCTGTCTCTCTCTCTCTGTCTCTCTGTCTGTCTCTGTCTCTCTGTCTCTGTCTCTCTGTCTGTCTCTCTCTCTCTGTCTCTGTCTCTCTCTCTCTCTCTCTCTCTCTCTCTGTCTCTCTCTGTTCTCTGTCTCTCTCTCTGTCTCTCTCTGTCTCTCTCTGTCTCTCTCTCTCTGTCTCTCTCTCTCTGTCTCTCTCTCTGTCTCTCTCTCTCTCTGTCTCTCTCTCTCTGTCTCTCTTCTCTGTCTCTCTCTCTGTCTCTCTCTCTCTGTCTCTCTCTGTCTCTCTCTCTCTCGTCTCTCTCTGTCTCTCTCTCTCTGTCTCCTCTCCTAGTATCTCTCTCTCTGTTCTCTCTCTCTCTGTCTCTTCTCTAAGTCCTCTCGTGTCATCTCTTCTCTGTCTCTCTCTCTCTGTCTCTCTCTCTCTCTCTCTCTCTCTCTCTCTCTCTCTCTCTCTGAGAGCAGCTCATGAACCAACAGTTACTACACACGATGCAGTCACGTCTGATTCCTGATCAAGTGAACATGGTATTACTTGCCAGTCATGCTTATTATGCCTTATATCTACAAGCACAGTGTATAGCACTGGATTTTTTGGGTTATCCTAGGTAATTTACACCATGTATGATAACTGTACTTATGTGTACCTGTGAGAGAGAGAGATATACAGAGACAGACAGACAAATGCAGATGAAGAGACAACCAAAGTCAGTCAGCCAGCCAGCCAGTCTGATGAATACGTATTACACATGTTCCAGAATCATTCCTATTTACTTAGGGCATAGGTTATAGGACAGTCTGGCAGGATGACATTGCCAGTGGTATCAAAAATGAAAGGATGTTGCACAAATGTTGCGCATAGGTTATTATCAAGGTTTTTGATATTTCCTCGATCATGTGTGACCACGTCCAACTCAAAGCCACTAAACTTTGGATCAACATCACTTTCCTCTTAAAAGGGGAGGGTTAATACGACATGACATCAGTGAATCCCTGGTGTTTTCCACGCTATTTGCTCTAGCTGGCGCTAAATTGAATTGGTGCTCCCACAAAGTACTAAATGGTCCCAGATTTTTTTTATTACTGCACACACCAAGTGTTAAGACCCATTCTATACTGACCAGGCATATCATGCCAAATTTGGAGACAGGAAAAATAAAACATTGATCTACATTTGGAGTGCTAGTGGTACTAACGTAGATCTACGTAAAACTTTTATGTGGCTAGCAAGGCTCAGGTCAGGGTATGTAGGAGAGAGAGATTCTTCTTTCAGTAAAAGTAGGCCTTAAATGGGTGCATGCTGTCACCATGGTTGTTTACCATATTTATCGATAGGGTTGTAGAAGTGAATTCTATGATATTGAGGAGGGGTGGGAAATTAAAAGATAATGAATCTTATACAAAGTAGGAGTTGTCACAGTTACTTTTTTTGCCATTGACACAGTTCTTTTGGGGTTGGTAGACAAATGTAAAATTGTATACAAAAGAAGGAAATTAAAAGTGAACATAGGAAAGATAAAAGTGACAAGTGTCAGAAAATCTAGGCAATAAGAGCTGGGATATCAGATTGTAGGGAGTGTAAAGGAGGTAAATCTTCTTTCAACAAACCGGCTGTATCCCACCAAGGCAGGGTGGCCCAGAAAGAAAAACAAAAGTTTCTCTTTTTAAATTTAGTAATGTATACAGAAGGGGTTACTAGCCCCTTGCTCCAAGCATTTTAGTCACCTCTTATGATAAACATGGCTTACGGAGGAAGAACTCTGTTCCACTTCCTCATGGAGATAAGAGGAAATGAAAAAGAACTAGTAAGAAAATAGAAGAAAACCCAGAGGTGTGTGTGTATATATATGTTTGTACCTGCCTGTGTAGTGTGACTTAAGTGTAAGTAGAAGTAGCAAGACATACCTGAAATCTTGCATGTTTATGAGACAGAAAAGACACCAGCAATCCTACCATCATGTAAAACAATTACAGGCTTCCATTTTACACTCACCTGCCAGAATGGTAGTACCTCCCTGGGCAGTTGCTGTCTACCAACCTACTACCTAGAAAGGAGGTATTTTTTTTTTTAAACACATCGGCCATTTCCTACTGAGTCAGGGTGACCCTCGCGGATGGTTAAGAGGTGAACCATAGAACTGAAAAAGTGAAAAAAGATGGGTTGCGCATTGAAGCATGTGTGGTACTGTATCAATAAAGACAAAAGGGGAATATACTAAGAGTATAGTGGTACCAACACTTACGTAGGTGTGAAGCATGGGTTTTAAGCATTGCAGTGAGGATGTTGGAAGCATTGAAGCTGTCATGTTTCAGGACACTGTGTGGTGTGAATATTACAAAGAGAGTTTGAAGATTAAGTGTTGGGTTACCAACAGTATTAATCAGGGATGTAGTTTAGGCATTTAGAGAGGAGGAAGTATAAATCTAGGGTAGAGGGAAGGAGGGGTAGAAGAATTGGAGTGCTAGGGGACTTGGACATCCAACAGGCCTATGTGAATGTGTTAGATAGGAGCAAGTAAAGGCAAGTAGTTTTTATGAAATGACTTGCTGTTATAGTGTGAGCAATGTAACATGAAGGAATTTGGGGAAACTAGTTTGCCAAACTTGGGTGCTGGAAGTGGGAAGTACAGTTCCTGCTCTCTGGTAAGTCACCTCTAGATCTTTTTTGCAAATGTAATAATACATGGTGCAATTGCTGTGCACAATCCATAGACAAAAAGTCCAACATTTTCCTCACTTTAAATTATGAAGTTATTTCCTTATTAAAGTTCAGCAATGTTTGATCCCTTTTCTTTTTTAATAAACAAAGTTTCTTTAAATAAGCATGTGCTGAATGGGTAAACTGTTGTGAATAATTAATTAAATTTGCCACATGCCATCTTTTTGGTTCCTTTAGGCTTCTGGCACCAGGCTGTTAGAAATTCTACTGTGAATGAAAGTAATGCAAAGCCTAAACCAACAAGCAGAAGGAAAATAGGTCCCTGCAGGTGAGAGAGTGTTAGTGCCTTGGTGTTGCTATCACCACCACCATCACCACCACCACCTTCACCACCATCCTGTTGCTGCCCAACAGGGGACTGTTTTCTGGCCCATACCATTACATCTTGACTCCACTTCTCATATAGACCTGCCTGAAAAGGAATAATTCTTGTATTTAACAGTATAAGTCAATAATAATAATACCAGATATAATCTGATATTTGCAAAGTATTACAAGAGGCCAGAATTATAAATTAAGTAACCAAGTACTGTTCAGAAGACACTAGAAAAGTGCTTGAATGAAAAGAATGGTTTCAAAGAAGAGGTAATGATTGTTACAACTAACAGTGACTTGTACTCCAATTCTTTGGAGAGAGTTGGAATACCTTCCATTTCCCCAGGTACTGTATGACCCTTGTGGGTTTAGCACTTCCCCCATAAATGTAATAATAATTCAGCCAACAGAAACTTAAAAAAAAAAAAAAAAAGATAGTTGAGACATGACAAGAGTAGCTCTATTCTAACAGCTAAAAATAGGTATGCTGGTGAGAAGCTCTTGATCTAAGGAATTGGATCTATGCTTCATTTCCTTGAATCAAGCTTTAATTCCTTCCTTTCCCGAAGCACTGTATAACTCCTATGGGTTTACTGCTCCCCATGAAGCAATAACAATACAAATAGGTACCTGGAATCAAGTGATCTTAATCCTTTGAATCTCTCATATTCCCTTGACCCTTACACTCAGTGTTGGCTGTTTTGCAATCTTAGTAAACACAAGTGGTTGAATTTGCAAACTTTTTCAAATTCTGTAGTACAGGACCTTTTCAGCTGCACTCGGGTGATTATCTCTCCTCGTCAGTTCGAAGTTATCACTTTTAAAATCACTTGTGGCATCAGTGGTTTGAATTATTTACCAAAATTGGAACCATCTTCCTTGACTGCCCCCCCTACCCCAGCTCCCCCAGGCACTGTATGACCTCTGATAATATAACCCCCCCCCCCCCCGGCTGTTTTTAATCAGTTACCTCAAGCCGCCACCACTGCAAGAATGTGTAGATTACATTGACAGTTCTTTATCTTGTCCCATGTATCAGAGAGAAAGATGACTTGGTTTTCAATATCCCCTGAAACTTTCTTCTTTAAAAGGTACCACCTTTAAATTAGATTCTGTGACTTCAAAGCTGATCTTCTGCACTGACTCCTAGTGCTCATCCTCTGTACTTCTGAATATTTACATAATGTCAGCCCTTCTCTTGCCATGCAGCATGAATGATCCACACAGGATGGCAATTTACAAGACTGTATTTATAAAAGGAACATAGTAATTACATTAATAAGACAGTGTATGACAAGTAATTAGTGGTTGACAGGGCTCAAATTATGAGATGCAAGATCTTAAAACTTATCTAAAAAGTATTATATGGCTGTGTATGACCCATCTGAGTTCAGCATTTTTATGTATATAGTAAGAACTATTACAATTATCTAGACATGGAAGAAAGTATAGATTTCATGAAAATTTTCTTGTGACATACTTGATGCCAATGAGGTCCTTTTGATCCAAAGAATTGGGCCTGCCCTCTTTCTTCCTTTGATTAAACTTGGTTACTTCCCAGGCAGTGCATGACTCCTACTGGCCTAACACTCCCTCCCTAAATATATTAATAGTTTCCTTTATTCTTCATTAAAGTATTTTGGAGTGACAGGTTTGTGTTGCACTCACCTCAGTGATGGCCATAATGCAGCGGTCAAGGTGAAACTTGTAGGGTGCATCATGAGGCAGTGGCCAGGCAGACAGTCCTGGGAAAACATTTTCACGGCCAAGATAGAGGGGTGTGCTGCCATCTGCCAGGGTGAAATTTTGTGCTATTACCAGTTCCAAGTACCGTCGTACTTCAATGTGTGCACGTCTGAAAAAATACATGAAGATGGTTTGTTAGGTTAAAGCCTATCAATTCTACACAAATCATTGCCTCAGGAGCTACATGAACTCTATGGGTTTAGCGCTTCCACTATGTATAATAATTAAAAATTGTTAATTGCTAATGAGTTTTTCCTCTTCAAGGGGATGTCCCTTAGTGTGGTGAAGAGGATCTTGGTCAGAGGAATTAGACCTTTTGGTCTCCTTCCTCAGACCAAACCTAATTTCCCCCAATCCCCCCCTTCCCTATCCTCTCCTCCCCATCCCTCCTCTATCCCCTTCTTGTTTTGGGCCTTTGGGATTCTCCCTGCAGGCATTCTAGTTCTTAGGTAGGGGGACAGGTACCGTGGTTCATCCTATTCCGTTGGGGTCCTTGGCGGTGGTATAGTTTGCCGTGGAATCTGGCATCCCTAGTGGGATGTCCCTATCCCTCTCTGGTCTCCTGAGGGGTAGCTTTGGGTGCTTTTGGGTGATGGGTGTATCTCTGGAGGCTGCCTCTCGGATTCCGGGGGGTGGTGGCCAAAGGAGGTATCTCAGTAGTAGTAGTTACCAGTCTCAGTAGTAGTAACCAGTTACCAGTAACCTGTCCGTTGACTCAACGACCAACCGTCTTGAGTCACGGTCTTTCATATTGTGCTGAGCGGACACTATTTCAAAAGACCCACTACGGGGTACTGGCCAGCCGGCTAGTCAGTTTTACGAGATGTAACCAAGGAGATAGGTAACGGCAGCGGCTCCCTCCACTTAACAGCCAATTATAAGCTAATAACAGCCTACGTGAGTATTTCTTCCCTAATCCACGTAGCGAATCCCACATGATAATGGTGTACAGCGGTGTGGAGGTGGATTTACGTTTTTAAGGGTTATTCAAGGCGTTTGAAGACGTTGTGAGTAGCCGCAGGGTCCATAGGTGAATCGTCACCCACAGCACTACCGCCCGCACACCTGAGCCAGCAGCCTGTCTCCCCTTCACAGACTTCATCCTGCATCCACGTAGAGAACTCCCATAATAAATGGTGTACAGCGGTGTGGAGCGTGGATTAGTTTTTTACGGGGTAATTCAAGGCGGTTTTGAAGACTGTTGTGAAGTAGCCGGACCCCGGGTCTAGGTGAATCGTCACCCACAGCACTACCGCCCGCCACCACCTCGAGCCGCAGCCTGACTCCCCTCACAGTACTTCATCCTGCAAGCCTGTTTGCAGCAGTTTCAAGCTTCTGGCTTAGTTCGTGTGCTAATTTGCTTCAATCTCGAGGGGTATGACCGGATTTTGACAAATAAGCCAGTCAGTAAGCCAGACTGTGGAAGTGAAGCAGGTAGCCTATCATACTGGCCTGCGTCTCCTACCTGCCTCATCCCAACCTGCCCTCCGTGCTTTGTGCATCGTTACACGTCTTCCAGTCAGCCATTCTCGTGGGGTAAGCCAGTCAGCCAACCCAGCTTCTAACCCAGCTGAGAGAGAGAAGTAAGCCACGCAGTAAGAAGTAAGCCAAGTTCCTCTGAAGTATTGTTTATATCGCTTTGTGCTCCCTGTTGGATGCTAAGAGTGGTTTTCACCATTCCTGTGACATAGAGTGGGTTAAGCCACCTTCGTGGGTAGAGAGTGGAGTCCGCGCCAGTGAGCGCCAGCAGAGTCACACCCACCACCCCCCCTCTACTCACACCACCCCACCACCACCACTCTCTCCCACCACCAGACACCTCATCTACCTGTGGTTGTTTGCACCCTTGTACCGGGTCCTAGTACTGTTTTGGCTCACATAATTGGTCAAGAGATTGTAGCTGGCGCCAACGAAAACCCAATTATGTGAGTTCTTCGTGAATGCGCATTTCTTCCGACAACAGTGAATGTAGGAGGCGTCAGTATCACCGCGCGGGACACCCTCCCCCCCCCCCCCCCCCCCCCCCCCCCATCACCAGTACTCACCGCCCGTCTACTACTCCAGACTTCAGTGATAATTTTCTTGAGACCTTTTTCTTGCATTTAAAGACATTTGCGTGTGTGAGACATTTATAGTAAATTTGCTTGTGTACTCTAAACCTTGTGTTTTTCAGTGTAACGCAGTAGTTCTTTGACTCAGTATTTTTTACAATATTTTTTTCAGTGTTTTCAATTATCTTATATTATTTTATTCTGTGTTTTTCTTTATGCTACTCGTCTGTAGTAAGTATTATTGTGTAGTGTACCAGTCAGTCACCCTGTGTGAAGGGATTCATTTTTTTTTTTTTTATTGTACAGGAAGGCCCCACTTATACGGCGGGTTAGGTTCCAGGCTACCGCCGTAAAGCGGAAACCGCCGTAAAGTGGAACACCCTTTTATTTTCCTTGTAAATGCATATAAATGCTAGATAACGTATTTACACTGACATATATTAAATTAGCAATAGAACTAAGCATTAAAAAAAACAATGAAAAGTAAAATTACACACAGTACATTTATTACATACCTTTAATTACTTAATATGAATGTGTGAGAGGTGAGTGGCAATGTAGTTTATTGAATCAAATCAGGAGATGGCAGACCATCATCCTCTAATTCTTCAACTAATTTGATTCGTTTTGGAGACTTGTGTGAGGCTTTTGAAGGGTGTAATGTTGATGTTGAAGGCTGTTGAAGGCTAGCTGTTGATGTTGAAGGCTGTTGAATGCTGGCTGTTGATGTTGAAGGTTGGCATGATATTTTCTTAAAGTTAGGAAAGCATTGAACTTTGCCTCATGGATTTTTTTTTCCTTTCCCTTAAAATTTCTTTATAGCATGTAACAATCATGGGAAAGGGTTGCATTCACTTTTGAACTTCGTTCAAAATTTGGATCAATCTTCTCAAAAATTGCCATTGCTATTTCTATATGGTTAATAGCTTCTTCCAAATCCTGGGTTTTCATTTCTTTAATGGTAACAGGACTATCATCAGGATGGATCTCCTCTTCATGAAATTTCTTTCTTTGCTCTTCAATCAGAAGAAGGTCTTGGTCTGTCAGAACCTCATCATGAGAGAGAAGCAATTCTTCCACATCCTCAGGCTCCACTTCCAGTTCTAATTCCCTTGCCATATCAACAACATTTACACACACTTCCCCCACTGGATTCTCAAAACCTTCAAAATCATCCATAAGTTCAGGAATCAGATTCTTCCAAACACCTTTGAGTGTAGTTTCATTAACTTCATTAACATGTGGACGATCACTCGGTCAGGCGTTTGTGAAACTTTTACCTTACAATATTTTTATTATTATTATTATAATAATTAAATCACGAAACAAATACTCTTACACTGTGTACAAGTTAGTACAGAATTATAGCTATAAAGTGAAGGCATACGAAAGGAATATTTTTCTACAGTTATCCCTAGTAACAGGTGACGGGCTAGAGAAAACGTAATTCTTCCGACACTTCTACAAACCGTTTGGTAAACATCTCGTATATATTTGTATAAAATTTTATACTGTGGGTGCATGTATCATGTTTTTTGTTTACATAATGTGTTTCTTATAAAAAATTTGAAAAAATTATCATAGATAGATTAAGGGAAATGTCTAATTAACGTAATATGCGACATTAATGCGCCCAAGATATTATTATTATTACTATTATTATTACTATTATTTCATTTATTATTTTTATTATTATTATTATTATTTTTTATTATTTATTATTATTATATTGCATCAAGAGTAGAGAGGACTCTTAGTGATTTTAATGTGTACCTACATGAAAGCAGTGTGTAAGTTTATTAGGTACAGGTATACATAAGTATAATTATCAGAGTATATATAAATTATGAAATAACTTTTAAAAACATTTGAAATTTTGGAGTTTCCAGACAAAATGGAGAGACTTAGTGCTTACTGAGCTCATGGAGAATGTAAACAAACAGGGTGGGGCACGGTGACCGTATTAGAAAGTCAGGTGGGGGGAGCCGTATAGCGAGTTTTGGTCATAATTTGAAATGTCCGTATTAGCGGAACGCCGTAAAGTGAAACGCCGTAAAGCGGGGCCTTCCTGTATTCTTTCAGCATACCAAATTATCCATTTATTTCTATGTGTGCCTTTTTTTTCGTATGCCAACAGTGTCTCATTCCTCTAATTTTTTCGCAGACTGTGTACCATTATTTTTGCCAGCAAATTTTTTGTCGTATCAGTCACAGCAAGATTTTGTTGTATCCACAGCAGGATTTTGTTGTAAGAATAGATTTTAATGAAGTGTGCTCCGTCACTGTAAGTGTTATATTCCCTGTTTTGTTCCTGTGTTTTATTTTTTTTCATATTTTTATATTCTTAAACCCAATTATCTTGATGTAATTTCAATTACTTTTAACGTAAAGTGTTTTCTTACTCTGTTTGAGTAAATTGTTTTGTCTAATTTACAATTAAGAGTTAAAGTGTTCAATTAGTTTATTTTTTTTTTTTTCATAATTTTAATTCATTATTTTACCTGAGTTTTCCCAGTGACACTTTATTACTGCAGTGATTGTTTCTACACCTTATTTTGTTGCACTTGTTCTGAAGTGAATTATTTTGTTGAACTGTTCTGCAGTGAATTATTTTCTTTTATTGATATTTTTATGATTTATATTTTAATTTTGTCTATGCATTCTTAGAAAATACTTAAATTTCCCAGTTAACAATTTAGTAATTTTATTTTATACTTTTTACATTGATTTAAAATTTTAATTAATTAATTTCTTTATTAGCAAGAGTAAAGACAGCTCATTTTGAATTTAATTCAGTCTTCAGTAATATTTTTACTTGTATATTTCAATGTAAATTTTTTTTCTTGGTCAATAGTCCTTTAAATTGAGTTTTCCTTCCTCTTGCAGTGTATTTAGACATTATTTCTGCAGAATTAGTTGTATATCTTTTCATTTCAATTCTAGAATTTTATATCATTTTATTGTTCATTATTTTTGCCTTATTTGTTCTCGTGCTACTTTCCCAAATTATGTCTCACATACCGTAAAGTGATACTTTAGTGAATGTCGACACTCAGAC